AACTTTCGAATCAAGATCCTGGATTTAAAAAAGAAGCGAAATAACGGGCTTTGAAATATTAAAAATATTCCAGACATAGCAACATCTCAAGCTTGGAACAAGTTTAAAGATTTTCGCACATGTAAAGATTTCAAATCCCATTTTTTTTCAGTCCAGCAGCCGAAGAGAAAGAAATTTCTACATAAAGGGTGTCCACAGTCAAATTGCATCACTTTAACAAAACTGTAACATTTTGCTCTTTGGGTTAATTTTGATAAAATTTTGGGTGAGTTGGCCTCAGCGTGTAATGTTTACACTGCGTGAGTTTCATTGTTAAATTTCTAGTAGTTTTGTAAATGGAGTCGAAGGAGCAGCGCGTGCTCGCACCGACCCATCGGAAAGATGTTGGGAATCCAACAATCTACTGTTTCTCGTGTCATAAAACGTTTAACTGTCGATCGGAAGCAAGTGAGTGCAAGAAAAAGTGTTCCGTACTGCGTTGAAAATCACAAGCGAGGGGTTGCTCCCTTCAAACGCAAAGCCAACTATTCCGTTCGGGATGTCGCGAAAAAACTGCACCTGACAAAAAGTTTCGTGCAGAAAGCCAAGAAACAAGCTGCTGTATCATGGACGATGAAACATATGTAAAAGCGGACTTTAACAAATTCCGGGAAACCAGTATGTGACTGCCAAAGACAAGTTCGTTTTACCAGAGTCCCTCAGGAAACAGCAAGTGGAGTTGCGGTCGATCCGAGGGGGGCGACACATCTAAATCTCAAGTTTAGATGCTTATCAAATCTCCCACTAGCGAATCAATCTTCGAAAAATCTTCTTTCATTTTTCGCATCTACTTGCATCGCGCATCATCTTTTTACAGGAAATCTTCAGAATCGCCGTCAATCTTCTTTCTATCTACTCAGCGTGCGTGCAGCTAGCCACAGCAAAACACAATCTTTCCTGCATCGTAGATAGAGTCGTCCCCCTCGGGTCGATCGCAGGATAATGGGCTATAATGAAGCACGAACTCCGTAAGCATCCTAAAATTGTCACTACAGAGCAGGAAATTATGGTGAAAGCAGAAAAAAATGTCGTTTCAACCGTTGTACAAAACCTTATGGGTGGAATTAAGAAGAAAGTTCGGGCATTTGGATTTGGTGAAAAAATATAGTGAAATAAAGATACGTAAACCAAGTTTATAGATAGTCTTACATTCTCTGAAAAGTTCATGACAATTGGTTGAGAGACTTATTTTTGGCGAGTCCTTCTAAGTGATAAACTGTGGACACTAGACTGATGTAAAATTTGAAATTGACGCTCCACAGTGTTCAAACGGTTTCAAATCGGCTTCTGATTAGCCTCCCAGAATTTAGACCCATTAGATAAGAACCTGAATTGGCACAAACTATTTGAAGTTTATATGGAAATGACTATGGGAAAACACAACTTTTTGTTCATTGTCTTCTTCTCTTTTTCCATATCGCACTTTTAAAAGGTTCCATAGCTATTCTTATGGGAATCTTTATGAGCTACAACTTAGCAGGAAATCGTTTTTCAGCCAAACGTCAAATTAAATAGTTATTAATTGTTTAAGAGAAGAGATTGATAATCTTATGGCAAGATTAAGCAACTGTATTGTGGGCAACACTGTATTCTGCAGTGTGACATAGTAGCCATAAACACCAATGTTGCCTGCTGAACAGTTGATTGAGCATAATCATAAGACATCAGTGACTTGAATCATTTATAATTTTTGTTCCTTACATTTGATCGGAAAGTGGTCGTGAACAAAGTTGTTGTTTATTGATTTATTTGATAAGGCTCAAACGAATTAACTTTACAGAGCCGAGGATTCTTGGTCACTATACAATACATCTTAAAACTATAGTCAAAAGGTACAACACAATAAACACGTTATCTTCCGCTATCCAACAAGCCTCCTCCATCAGAACTGCAGCCGCTTCCAGTGGTTTGATTGTATGGCAGTTACGCCAACGAAGGTCAGAGTGCTTCCATTGCAGGAATGGACACAAAACGTGGTCAGCTCTCAAACACTCATCACTAAACGGTTGCTTTCCAAAGTCGACGACGCATCGACCGAAAGAACTGCTGATGAAAAACAATGATGAGGGCCACACAATGGTTGCTGCCGAGAAAACAGACGATCACGTGGCACACATCGAGAGTGGCCTGCTTTTGTCGACAGCCGAGTAAACACTGCCTTGAACCAAGTTGTAGCTGAGAAAATTTTCAACAAGCTCAGCTATCATTTTCTAAAGTAGAGTGAATTGGTGAATTTTGAGATCGATATGAACCGAAATTATGGTTTCTTCATAATAATTCCCATATAAACTTCAAATGGTTTGTGCCTAGTCAGTTTCTCACTAAATGAGTTCAAATTTTAGGAGGCTAATCAGGGCCCAATTTGGAGCGAAAATTTCAAATTTTGCATCAGTCTAGTGGACACCCTTTATGACAGTTAAGTTTGCCTTACGAATAATGCACAGAGGATTCAACTCTTACAAATTCCCGTTGAATGCTCCTTGAAATTCCTTCCGATTTGCTTTACAATTCACTAGAATTGGACTCATAATCCACAAATAGTCTCTTCAGAATTACCCTAGAAATCAGCTGTAGCTTTCCTTAGAATTTTCTTTAAATACTTCCTAAAATTACCTGAAATTTGTAGTCAAATTCCATTGTAAATCTCCCCAGAAATCCGTTACAATTATCTCTAGAATTACTCTGCGTTTCTCCTCTACTGATTTGGCATTCTCATCTTAATTCTATAGCCAATGCATTGAATTGTTAGAATCCTAAAATGTTGTCCTATTCCAAGAGCCATGATCCCTTTTTTTAATCTGAGATTTTTTAAGTAGGCCTTATTCAAGTAACAAATCTCACAAAATTCAAGAATGTAAAATACTGTTGTTGCGTCAAAAATAATCTTTCAAAAAATCTTAATCCGAGAATTCCAATGTTATTCAGTAGATTACGTTGTTTCTTAATAAAATATGGAGGGGGTTTGCACGGTTTTCTGCATTTAAATTACTAAAATCAATCATGCAGGTATTCCCTTTTTACCATATTTAGCTCTCTGAAGCTGAAACCGGGAAAAATAGGCCCCCGGTAAATACCGAGAATTTAATATCATAAAATCAGTGGCCACCCTGTATCAAGAAAACTGGCAACTTTCGTTTTCTGATACGAACACTATGAGACAGGCACAATCGCGTCATCTGCCGCTCAAAGGTAAATGCTCTGAATGGATTTGATAGCAAAGATTCTAGCTTCAGGAGAGCGGTTTGTGTATCTGCTCATTTTTCCATGCGATGCCTTCCACCTTCACTCAAGAGGTAACTCTAAGACTAGAAGGTCCCGAAGAAACGTGCTCAACTTTTTGGCTCAGCTCTGGTACTCTCTTCGGTCCCAAGCTAATCGATTCACCCTTCGAAACATAGGAAAATCCACGAACCCCTCATCTTATCTGTCAAACTTTCATAGCGAATCAAAACAAACATTGTGTAGTACTAGAATTTCGACTAAAATGGGGTACGTTAATCGTTTGCTTGGGACCAATAGGCTAGTCAAGTAGTGAGCCAATTTAAAATCGTTAGTTTCGTATTGATTGTTGGTGCTACTGAATCTGCCGCTTGGAGTGATTTGAGATTTGGGCGTAATTGCTTGTGTAAACAAAGACGTCTATTGCTGATTTCTCTTGAATTAAAGCTAAATCACACGAACAATCTATACCATATGATAGAGGAATCATTCCTCTACCTCATAGCGTTATTAGTTTTCGAGATTGAGCTTTAATTCGCGAAAAATCAGTGATTGACGTGTTTGTTTACAAATTCAATTACGCCCAAATCTCGAATCACTCCGGTTATGTCTTGATGTCGTGTCTTAAGCTTGTCGAATTTCGCTCGTTGGGCTATCTTTAAGCGGGCTACGTTTTAGTTGGGCTCCCGTCCCGTTAGTTGGGCTGACTGCCTAAATCGAAGTCAAACGTCATTTCTGACAGTGCTGATTCGATTTCGAGGGGCTCATGGATGAACAATTTGGGAAGTTGCTAAAAGATTTTGATGATAATAAACAACCATAATAAACAACCAATTTTAAGGTTGACAGCTCTTAGTGGGCTATGGGTTTGTTCCAACGAGCTAAAGTTGTCTGTATACGGTTTTCAATTTTTAAATCTGTTTTCTGTGGAACAGAATACAGTGCGGCTATACGCATCACTATATGGAATGAAGAAAAATCGACGTATTGAATTTACCAATCAGAGAAGAAAAAAACAATCAAAACATATTTGATGCTTACTGGAATCTATATCAAATCTGTCTCAATATCAATACATTTAAGATAATCTAAATCGAATTTCTTCAGCTCTTTTTCTAATTATTACATTGGCCTTTAAATCGTACTTGACCGTTTACAAGCATATCATCAACCTATAATCAGACAGATAAGCAGTGTTGACTCACCCCTCCAATCCATGGTCTTTCTCCGGAAGCGGCACGCCCCAGGTACCCTCTCTACCTCTACTCAAGAAACTCACGAATGGCGATGAAGGTGTGCAAAAGATTCCATCATCATCATCATCATCATCATGATCGGCGCAGGGTTCAAAACAGCGCAGTAGAATGTTTGTCTTTCTTTTCACGGCGATGAGCCTCGTGTGTTCGCGCACTCTTCACTTCTCTTTCTTCAGCCTTCCTTTTGTGCACACACTGCGGCACACTTCTTCCTGTGGCGCTGTTGAATGGCGAAAAAGTCACGTACGCCAAAAATGTGTACCGTGCAAATGCGCCTTACAATCTTAAATATTGACTTTCTGTGTTTTGTACATACTAAATACAAGGTGGGATTAATATCGAGTGCAGTCGGGAACAAGGTCGTTGTAAATGAAAATAGCGCAACGGGAATCCCCCCCCCCCACTCTGCCATCTGGTGATAACTAGTTCAACTCAGTTGCGTGGATGATAGATGTCGCTAAATCTTCAATTCTATTCCTTCCTCAGGCTATGGTCGCTTGCTATCCGGGTCACGGATCGCACTACGTCAAACACGTGGACAATCCCAACCGGGACGGCCGCTGCATCACCGCAATCTACTATCTCAATCTCAACTGGGACGTCCGGGCGAGTGGCGGTCTCTTGCGGTAAGTTTCCACATCACCTCGAATATGCTTTTTCACGATAACACGGCTCCATTGTCCATTGTAGAATCTTCCCGGAGGGCTGCAACGATCGGGTAGCCGACATCGAGCCCATCTTCGATCGGATTCTGTTCTTCTGGTCCGATCGCAGGAACCCCCACGAGGTGCAGCCGTCCCATCGGACGCGCTACGCCATCACGCTGTGGTATCTGGACGCCGAGGAACGGGAATCGGCTCGGTTGCGCTACCAGCGGGATTGCGAAAACCCACGGTTCAACGCATGAGTTTATTAGTTTGCTCGGACACGCCATCGCCTGCATTTCGGCAACAACGATGGTAAGTTACTGTAGTAGTTTGGATTGTTTACTCTTTTGTGTCTATGTAAAGTTACAAGTAAGGCAATAGAGTTTAGGCATTAATAGGCAATAAGAGAATGACACAAAAGTGCACGACTGTCGGTAGCACCGACGGGGAGCAAATTTACACTAATTCTACCACAGCGAAAAGATGAAGGCATGATGAGACAAAGTCGAATAATTTATTTAGCTAAAATATGATAATGAGAATGTGATATTGTATTAACGACTATGACGCAAAGTAACTGTTATTACCTGCATATATTTTTCAGCTAGTTTTTTGTTTTGTGTACTAGACGAACTACACGAGATGATAGCGCCAAGCAGTGTTTGTAGGGACTTATACTAAAGAGAACGCAACTTGCAAAGTTAGTCAAATATTAGCTTTTAGAAACCGAACTGTTGCAAACAGTTGCGCCATCTTCGCTCCTCTACACTGAAAAAAAAAAACATCATCGAATAGAACGGTTGGAGGAGCACTGAAAAAAAAAAATCGATCAAATTAAATGGCAAGTTACATCCAAGTATGCTTATAGATAGGATAGGTAGGTAGGTAGACAAAAAAAAACATTGCGTCACTTCTTCGTGCATATTTTGGTCGAGTTCCGACCTTTTCTTCTGATCCTAGATCTTGACTTTTTGGCTATTTTTTTAAATAAGAAAACAAGAAAGTAAATTAGCGAAGAAGTGCTTTTGGGCTGATCAAAACCTTTTTTCCAATCACAAATTCGGCAATCGAAAGTCAATGCAAAACATACAGCAAAAAAAACACATTAGAACGGGTATAAAATGGAAGATGGGAATTTGCCAATAACAGAAAGATTTTGAAAGTTTGAATAAACAGTTTTTAAGTCCTGAGATGAAGTCGGGGGTGGTATGTGGTTTTATGATCCGAAATTGTTCCTGGGACGAGTTGTGTGTTTTCACGTCAACCAAATGCATTGCAAAATTAGTTTTGAGGGGATCTTTCCTTGTTATCTACCGTTTGCGAAACTGTAAGTTGACAGCTTGCCAAGATTTGGATGTCTGTGCTAGAGAAATGAGTTAATCTAATTGAAATCGTTCAACTTTCAGTCGATTGAAATATAGATAAATTGAGATTTAGAATGATCACGGACGGTTTTATTCATAACCATCTGAGTCAAAACACACCCGCTTTTTTATCAGTCCGGAATCTGTGAATCCTCAACCGCCCGGCCGGACGGAATGTACACCTTGAAGGCAAACTTCGACTTTGGAAATGATCCGGTATTCATCACCGTACAGCTCTGTTCCGTCGTTTGGAAGCCTTGGCAGGGATCGCCAACCACGATCAAATCCGGCAGTGGATACAGAGACATGGCTGCGTCATAGTTCCAGTGCACGGGGAAGGCAATCGGATGCAGCGGTGCCAGCGTTCCTTGACTGATGAGTGTGCGTGAAAACTGCGGAACAAAATAAATCCATTCAATGGTCCATTTAATAAAGCACAAAACAAATAAAAACAAAACTCACATGATCCTCCAACTGCCCGCTCTGGGGAAAGTGGATCGTGTTGCGGCAAAGTTTCGTCACCAAATCCGCCCGGCAGACCACGATCTGTTGAGTGCAGTACTGCAACCGACATGGATTGGTGGCCAGCACGATTCTCGGATAGCGCTTCTTCAAATCTCCGATCAGGCATTCCGGAAGCGGTGCTCGTGGCAGGATGTTTGCTGCCATGGGATCCTCACTTGACGGTACCAATACCACATCGGTTTCTGCCTTAAGACACTCGCAGGCGGCCAGGATGTCACCCAGTGCCTGGAAGCGCCTCTTCAAAGCGTATGCATTTTCGTTCATCTTGGCAAATGGACCCATCAGCACTATGGCTCGGGGAGGGAAAGCATTGTAACCGGTTAAGAGCTGTTTAAGTTTGCTCATCACAGTCGGATCATCCAACCAGCAATCCGCCAAGAAAACGATGGTGTCATCTTCCTTTTTCTCCTCGAATTCAGCCAATTTCCTGGAATATTTAAGCAGATTCTTCGATCGCCCTCCCCACGTGTTGACGGTTCCGTAGAATGCCCGGCTGCTGGAGGCCAGCTCCGTTACCGGGAACCCCATCTCTTCGATCTTGAGCGTTCCGTCGCGGAACTTTCCGCAAGCCAGCACGAAGCAACCCTCGCAGAACAGTCCCGAGGAGTACACGGTTTCGCTGAGGTCGATCGGTACCACTCCCGTTGGGTCTTCCAAGTAGAATTTACCTTCGGTCAGTTGGGTTAATAGACCAAGGATGACGACCTGCAGGATGAGATTTTTGGTTAAGTCTTTTTAGAATTCGGTGGGATGGAAACCTACCTCATTCATCTTTGACGTCGACAGCAACGTTTCGATCTTCCTCAGGGTCAACCGTTTGACATTGTTGTTGGAGGTAATCTTACTAGAATTGAACATCTCGTGTCGACTGGTTTTCTGCCACAGCATCTGGTATCGATCGCGGATGTACTCCGACTTGGCATCCGGTCCCGGCAGTAGACTTCGGGGCCCACTGTCCGGAAGGAACTTTTTCTTCTCTTCGTTGTAACGGAACCGGGGTACGTCGAAGGCATTGATCACGCTGAAGATGGTTTCGTTGTCATCCAAGCCGGTGTTGTTCGCCTCCTTGATGGCCAGTTCGATGTGCTTCTTTTCGACCACCGGTTGCTCCAGGTTCTGGCCCTGCACGTGGCTGGCGATGTTGTGGAGCCATCGTTTGCGGTTCGCTTCCTCTAGGGGAGCGATCTGCTGGGCCAGGAAGATACTGGCTTCGCTGAGGAAAGAAATGGAAGAAAGGTGGTTTACTAAACAGAAACTTTTCAAATAATGGCCCTTATTACCGATGTCACTTCACGGTGAAGTGACAACTTATCACCCACGGTGAAGTGATTCCCATTTGATTTACACGGCAATCACTCCACCGCGAGTGACAACTGGTCACTTCACTTCGTTTTCACCGTGAAGTGCCACCCGTAATAAGGGCCAATTCATTTTGGAAATGTGTGTTATCAATAGTAGTAAGTTAGTAGTAGGCTACGACATTAGATACGTAAGCTCGGGCATCTGGAAGAGTGTTTCTTTACTACTAAATCCGATTCCGTGAAGTGAATTTAGAAGTTGGTTCCTGTTTCGGAGTACTACCACATCTGGTGAAAACTACAAGCCGTATTCGTTAGGTATGATTAATTTAACATCTATTTTGATAAATATATAGAACTAGACTAGCCAATACTTCGAAGGCAAGAAGCTGCTTCTGTTACGAAGAAGCAGATTCATCCGCTGCCGTAGAGCCGCTACATAGAAAAGAAATCAAGGCGTTTAGCCGTTGCGTGGAAGTAGGGAAAGGCTTGGAGCCTCTACGAAGGAGTAGGAAAGACATAAGCTACCGTTGCAATTTGTAGAAACCAGATTAGAAGAAAAAAGCTACCGAAACATCAAAGTCACCACCTACTGAGAATGGAAGGTTGGAACATCAGCCCGTTCAAATTTAACCATCTTCCAGAACCGCAGATTCGTAAAGAATGGTTGCGATTGAAGAGAAATTTTGAAGTGGTTGTTTAAAATTCAATTTACTACGCTCCTACAAATTATTGAACTATTCCACAAATGGTTTGGATGATACACGTCGTTAAGCAAAATAACCATTCAAATTTTATTAGGGAGCTCATCGCTGAAAATGAAAACAGTCCGTCAACTACTTTTTTTGGAACGGGCTCGAGAGACAACGTGAACCGTGTGATTGGAAGTGGTAACCCTAATAAACGGGTACCATACTCTAACGATATCATAGATGGTACGACTATCCCACATAAAGTTGGGATGATATCCCGAATTGGTGGTTAGGCGCTTCTTATGGTTATTGTTTATGCGGGAAGCCAGCAAACGGTTCTTGCTATCAATGTGGACAGAAGACTCAGTACGGGAATGGACGAACAGTCCAGCGCGTAGCAATGTGAGAAGTGTAGCAAGTTTGGTCACTTTGCACGCGTGTGCCGTTCTGTTTTGATCGTAGTTGGAAATGTACTTATCCGAAGGTTGATAGATTCTGGCAGCAGCAAGAATATTACACCAGTTGGCGAAGCATGCTAACGCAAGGAGTCAAAAGCTGGCAACCAAGGGACGTCCGAATACAGTTTTGCGAGGTTATGGTCGAGATGCAAAGCCGTTGGTTGTGTCTCATGTTTTTGAATCTGTGATCGCTGTCTGGAGATGGAGCAAATCGGAAGCAAGAAACAACCATATTCTAATTGAGAAAAGAAAAATCGAACGTCTTGTGAACAGTTTTGAACTCGTGACTTTTGTATTGTTAGACCATTGTCCATCCATCTAAGCAGGATTTCGCCCCATCGCGCTGACCTGCTGCATGGCCAAAGTCTTGGAGCGGATGGTCAACAGAAGGCTCAAGCAATACCTGGAGTCTAAGGGACTGCTTGAGCTGCTTGACCATCGACAGCACACCTTCAGGCAAGGGTACGGTACCTCCACCTACTTCGCCACTCTTGGAGAAGTCCTGAAGGAGGCACAGGACCAAGGCCATCATACGGAGATCGTCTCGCTGGACATCTCCAAAGCATTCAACAGAACGTGGACACCAGCAGTAATGAAGAAGTTAGCCGAATGGGGACTAAAAGGACGCATCCTACACTTCGTCCGAAACTTTCTGACCGACCGATCTTTTCGGGTGTCGGTCGGAAACGTCCAATCCAGAAGGTTCAGCGAAGAAACCGGAGTACCACAGGGTTCGGTGATCGCGGTCACCCTCTTCCTGGTGGCCATGAACGGGGTCTTCGACAAGCTACCCAAGAAGATATATATTTTCGTCTACGCGGATGACGTCCTCATTGTAACGGTGGGCCCCACCCTGCAGAGGACGAAATTAAGGGCGCAAGCGGCAGTCTCCTCGGTGGTCAGATGGGCTGACTCCGTTGGGTTCCAGCTTTCCGCCGGCAAGAGCGTGCGCTGCCATATATGCACCACCCGGCATCGGAACAACGGACAGCCCATCATGATCAAACAGCAAGCGATACCGACCAAAAACACAATAAGGGTCCTGGGAGTGCTCCTCGATCGGAACCTATCCCTCGAGCCGCACTTCCAACAGGTGAAGAAGGACTGTCGTAGTCGATCCAACCTGATGAAGACCATCTCCCGCCCCCACCGATCCAACAACCGTGAAATCCGCTTCCGAGTAGCCCGAGCCATCATCGACAGTCGCCTATTGTACGGCGTAGAACTAACGTGCCTTGCCGCCGAGAAAGCCGTCCAAATCTTGGAACCGGTCTACAACGGATACGTAAGAACAGTCTCCGGTCTCCTGCCCTCCACCCCGGCCGACGCCGCGTGCGTTGAAGCCGGTATTCTGCCTTTTCGGCTCATCTACACCGCAGCTACCGCTACCAAAGCCGCTGCCTTCCTCGCTAAAACGTCGGGAAACAGCAGGATCTTTCTCCTCGACGAGGCGAACCGACTCCTCCGCACGGTCGCCGACGTAGATCTCCCTCCAGTGGCCAGGGTCCACTGGCACGGAGACAAAAGTTGGCAATCACATCAGATCAGAATCGACAGCCGAATCAAGGACCGCTTCAGGGCAGGAGACAACTCACTGGCTTTGCGCCGGACAGTCGTCGAAACTCTCGGGGCGCACTATCAAGATCACGAAATCAGGTACACTGATGGCTCGCTCTCCAGCAGCGGAGTGGGAATGGGGGTTTCAGGAGATAGTTTGGTCGTCAGCAATTCACTTCCGGCCCTGTGCTCGGTGTTTTCCGCTGAGGCAGCGGCCGTCTTTCACGCAACCACCCTTCCGGCCAATCGGCCGATCCTCATCGTTACCGACTCACAAAGCGCAATAATGGCCCTAACCGATGAAGCACCAAAGCATCCGTGGATACAAGGGACGGTAACGCATGCGCCGCCCAACACCGTATACATGTGGGTACCCGGGCACTGTGGCATCCAGGGGAACGTGATCGCCGACCACCTCGCCGGCTCAGGCCCCATCGGACCCAGGTTCTCTGACAATGTTCCGTTCCAGGACATCAAGAAATGGATCAAGCGGACGGTTCGGAGAGCGTGGGACAACGAGTGGAGGAACAATCGAACTCACCAACTACGAAAAATCAAGGCGACCACCGATCCCTGGAAGGATCGACCGAGCCTCAAGGAGCAGCAAGTGGTGTCCAGGCTGCGCACCGGGCATAGCAGGGCCTCCCATAATTTCGGAGGAACACCGTTCCGGAGAACCTGCGAAACCTGCGGAGTGCCAGCCTCCGTAGAACACATCCTCATTAGAAACACTGGAATAAGAGACCAGCGGAGACACTGTTATGATTCCAATCGAACTGTCAAAAGCGGTTCCAATCTGCAATGTTTACAAATGGTTTGCTTCAATTAGGGAGGAGTATTAACATCGTTTAACAATCACTCATGAACTCGCTCATCGGTGCATTGGCGAAGTCACTCGCAAGCAGTTACAAATGCAAGTGAGGCCAGGATTGCTTTGATGTCTATCTTGTTGCCAAATTCATGTTTTTTTTTCTCCGCTGGTCTCTTATTCCAGTGTTTCTAATCCTCATCAACTGTGTGGAGCTCGAGGACCTTCGGGTTGCCTTCAGTCTGGAGGAAACCAGCATACGAAGTCTGCTTGGCGACGAGTTCCCGGCAGCAGACGCCCTCATCGCCTTCCTGAAGGAGGCGAATCTTTTTTACAACATTTGAGTGTTTTCTGTTTGTGCTTTTGAATTCGTTGGCCCTTTTGGTAGTGTTTTTACAATATTTTATATAATTAAGCTAAATGCCCACTTGCCAAGATTGGGATCCTCCTTTTGAGGTCCCAATTCTTTTTTGTAATTTTTAAAAGAGATGAACTAGCCTTAGGCTAAAAATCTCTCTAATAAAGGAGAAAAATCAGGAATGTGTTACAGTTGATGTTGATGAAATTGAAGACGCAACCCGCGATGATCCAGAGATAACAGCCGTAAGAGAATGTCTTCGGTCTGGCAGCTCGAGTAACCTATTAGCAAAATCGTTTGAATCTTTTCGGAATGAGTTGGGATTCATTGGAGACACCATGATCAGAGGAAATAAACTTGTTGTTCCTAAAGAGCTACGGCAATGCATGTTACAGCTTGCTCGCAAACGGCGTCCATTGACTTCATGGGTCTTCTTCCCTCTGGCGAATACTTATTTGTAGTTATTGACTACTTCAGTAGATACAAAGAGGTCGAAGTTACGACTCGCCTCGCATAACTGCTCATGAAACTGTTGAAGCTTAAGTAAATTTTTTACCCGTTTAGAATATCCTAGGAACGGCGCCGGTGGTGTAGTGGTAAGCGTGATTACCTCTCACCCCAGCAGGCCTGGGTTCAATCCCAGTCGGCGCCGCCGGGATGTTCTGAGGCATAACATCTCTGATCACGCCTTCCTTCGGATGGGAAGTAAAGCCGTTGGTCCCCGGTTCATGAGTTGATGGGTCGATAGGTAGGGTCCAGGTGTGGGAGCTGCCTTCCTGGCACGTCGGTAGCATTGGTGCTCAGCACGGAAAACAAGATCGACGGAAAAAAACAAACCAAAGGAAAAAAAAAAAAAGAATATCCTAGAAGCTAGAATTATCACACTCGACAACGCCAAGCAGCGCATTGGTAAGGAAATTGAAGATTACAGCAAAATAGGAAAATGGTAAGGAAGATCTCACTCCAGGGAATAAGCTATCGACGACTTTCAAGAGAACAAACTACACTGTTATAAATCGGTTGGGAACAGAGCTACAATAGAAGATCCAGATTCCGGAAGAACCTACGAAGGGAACTTGGTCATCTGAAGAAGGAACGAAAAAAACGCGACATCATCACTGCAGGAAACCTTGAACAACTCTGATGAATCTGGTTCTTTAGCAACCGGAAAATCTGAAGCCTTAGAAGAAGACTTTGCGGATTTAAAGCTGAGGAGTGTGAAGTTCCCATGTCTGGTATTGAGGCTTGAGACATTACAAAATGGAAGTCTCTGAGATGTGTAAAGGTTTTGTTATTTAATTGATTATAATACATCCTAAGGAAGATGTGCTATCGAGTCGAGGTACGACTTTAGATACGTAAGCTCGGATGGAATAAATGTTCTTAACGTTCCAAACACTTTTGATGTCACATCGTTGATCTGCGCATACCAGTTCAATTTTTTGTCCATTCGGAGTCCAAGGTTGACGACAGTAATTGAGAGAACAATCGGTTCTCCGCAGAACACAATTTGGCATGGCGCAATAATCGTGCCATCTTTCGAGAAAACTATGGCTTGAGACTTTTTCGGATTAGGGTAGAGAACGTTAGCCTTAGCCCAATGCTCGATTGCTGCCAGATCCTGATTGATAGTTGCAATCAGTCTTCTGATATCATCTGTATGCCCGGAAATGTAGATTTGAAGATCATCGGCGTACAGTTGGTATTCACACTTCAACTGTGACGGGAGGCTGTTTATATATAAGCTGAATAATAGTGCACTGAGGCATGATCCTTGCGGGGTGCCATCGGGTACCAGGCGCTCAGCAGATGTCTGGTTTCCAATTTGTACAGCTTGACTACGATTGCTAAGAAAAGCTGTAATCAATCCCCCTGCTTCATCTGAGAAATTAAATTCCGCCAGCAATTTATGTCTCAGCCGTTGATGGTCTACGCTGCTGAAAGCTAACGAAAAATCAACTAGGACCATAACGGTGCTGTGGTTTAGGTCTAGGTTGGAAGTCTAATTAGGAATGAATCGTAAGGTGACAAATATTTAATTCAAAGGTTTTTCTGATTGGATTGCGTGTCCAATGATTGCTAGGATCCAACCTTTAAATATTACTGGATCTGTTAAATATGGATATAAACAAATCTGAAAGCTGAACTTAATGGAAGCAGAATAAGAGCTTATTCAGGCAAAAACATACTTCATCAGCTAAAAATTAGCTTAATCAGCTCAAGTTGTTTGTTGTGCGTGCCTTTACTGACTAGGTTATTTTAGGGAGGGTGTTTAGATACTTAATTCAAATATTTATAGTTGTGCACAACATTGGGTTTTAAGTGCTTTTAATCACACCAGTTTTGCTCCAGTACTAGTATTACATGTTGTTATTGGTCACCAAATTGCAATATTTTACAATATGATACTTAACCACCTGGAGCTTGTTAATAATACTAAACACCTAAACACTCACTAACCTTCGTATCTGAAAACCGCTTATGGTGAATCGGGACACAATTTGCGCTTTTAGCTTTGGTATTTCACTCATTTTCAGCGGTATTTTCTCATAAAAATTGCTTAAAAAATACACGAACCAACGAAGAAACAACACTTTTGTTGATCTTTTTACAATGTGTAAACGTCAAAAAATTGCGCGCTTTCTTCATCTCCCCTCTCGAGCAATCTGTTTACCGAGGTGTGGAATTGTTCACTCCGAAATTTCGTTCTCCGTTTTCGGCTCCGATGAACTTCTTGGGTGACAATTCCACACCGCTTCACCGATGTAAAGATGCAAACACAACAAATGCCGCCCAGCTCTAATCGTGAGAAGGCGCGAAAAAGCGTCGACCGCTGTCAAAATTTCAAAGCAACTCTCGAATCGGTCGTGTTTTGCGATTGTAGTGTTTTAAATTTCCCGAATTTCCATGGCTAATTTTGTGCAAAATACCGGAAAATACATTGCGGAAAAGGTGGATGGGTAAGTGCGCTGGATTTCGTTTGAAGTGCGTTGATTTATCGAGTGGTTTCGCCGTAGGGATGACACGAACGAAATCGGCTATCGGCAGTCGAAGGAGAATGACAAAATCGATCTCAAGTATGGGTACGAACGGGTCAAGGACACCCAGGAGCGGACCGGCTATCTGGTCAACATGCACTCGGTAAGTGTGTTCTTTTCCCGAAATTAAACATTGTTCGGCTAAAGTGGGATCGTTTTCAGACGGAAATCCTGAACCAAGATCGCCGTCTGGTGGCGGCCCTCGATCTGTACTTTCTGCAGATGGACGGCACCCGGTACAAAATGACCGTCACCTACATGCCGTATCTGTTGCTGATCACCAAGGAAGGTCACGCTCTTGAAGTGGCGAAGTTTCTTTCGAAGAAGTACTCCGGCCAGCTGCAGACTGTGGACCACATCACCAAGGAAGATCTTGATCTGCCGAATCATCTGAGTGGCCTGAAGCAAAACCTTCTCAAGTTGACCTTTGCCAACACAAGTCACATGAACAAGGTCAAGAAGGATCTGTCGGCCGCGGTTCGAAAGAATAAGGAGCGCGACAAGGCCAACACGTTCTACATGCAGATGTTAAGCAACTCGTTGGCCGTGGCCTCTGAGGGGGAGGGAAGTTCCACGATTCAGAATCAGGATTTCTACGAGAGTATCATGGACATGCGGGAACATGACGTTCCGTACCACGTTCGGGTGTCGATCGATTTAAACATCTTTTGCGGATTGTGGTACACGATGAGAATCAGGGGAGGAGACGATCCGCCGATCATCACTCCGCGGCCGGATATTCTGGACCGACCGGAGCCGGTCGTTTTGGCGTTCGATATCGAAACGACCAAACTGCCGTTGAAGTTTCCGGATGCCCAGACGGATCAGATCATGATGATTTCCTACATGGTCGATGGCCAGGGATATCTGCTTACGAATCGAGAGATCATCAGTGCCGATGTAGAGGACTTTGAGTACACTCCGAAGCCGGAGTTCGAGGGTCAGTTTATCGTGTACAACGAACCGAACGAGATGGCTATGATTCAGAAATTCTTCGACCACATTCTGGAAGTTAAGCCGCACATTTTCGTTACCTACAACGGGGACTTTTTCGACTGGCCGTTCGTGGAGACGAGGGCGGCCGTGTACGATCTGGACATGAAGCGGGAGATTGGGTATTCCAAGGTCAACCAGCGGGATGGAAACTATTTGTGCCGGCCAGCAATGCACATGGATTGCTTGTGCTGGGTGAAGCGAGATTCGTATCTGCCGGTGGGGTCGCAGGGTTTGAAAGCGGTGGCCAAGAGTAAGCTACGATACGATCCGGTCGAGCTGGATCCGGAGGAGATGTGCAAGATGGCGGTGGAGCAACCGCAGGTTCTCTCCAACTACTCCGTGTCGGACGCCGTAGCCACCTACTATCTGTACATGAAGTACGTCCATCCGTTCATCTTCGCTCTGGCCACCATCATTCCGATGGAACCGGATGAAATCCTGCGGAAAGGTTCGGGAACCCTGTGTGAATCGCTCCTGATGAAGGAGGCATACCACGCTCGGATCGTGTATCCCAACAAGCAAATCTCGGAACTGAACAAACTCACACCGGACGGGCATGTTCTCGATACGGAGACCTACGTCGGTGGCCACGTCGAGGCGCTTGAGTCGGGTGTCTTCCGGGCGGACATTTCCACCCGATTCCGACTGGATCAGGGCATGCTGATGCAGATGCACGACAACGTGGACAAGGTTCTGGAACATGCGATCGTCACCGAGGAGGGTGTCCCGTTGGATCAGGTCACCAATCTGGAGGATGTGGCGGAACAAATTAGGGCAACGTTGCAGCAGTTGCACGACACTCCGACCCGTATCGAACAGCCGGTCATCTACCATCTGGACGTGGGAGCTATGTATCCGAACATCATCCTGACCAATCGGTTGCAACCGTCGTCCATGATCTCGGAGACGGACTGTGCCGCGTGCGATTTCAACAAACCGGACGCCAAGTGCAAACGGGACATGGAGTGGATGTGGCGTGGTGAAATGCTCCCGGCAAGTAGGAATGAGTTTCAACGGATTCAGCAGCAGTTGGAGACGGAGAAATTCCCACCTCTGTTCCCCGGAGGACCGCCACGTGCCTTCCACGAACTGTCCAAGGAAGATCAAGCAAACTACGAGAAGAAACGACTGAGCGATTACTGCCGGAAGGCTTACAAGAAGACAAAGGTCACCAAACTGGAGACGAGGACGTCGACGATCTGCCAGAAGGAGAACAGTTTCTACGTAGACACGGTTCGAGCGTTCCGTGATCGACGGTACGAGTACAAAGCGATGACTAAGGTGGCAAAAGCTGCGGTAGCTTCGGCGCTCAAAAGTGGAGACGCAGGCGAAATTAAAGCTGCCAAGGGAAGAGAGGTGCTGTACGATTCGCTGCAGTTGGCGCACAAGTGTATTCTGAATTCCTTCTACGGGTACGTGATGCGGAAGGGAGCCCGCTGGCACAGTATGTCCATGGCCGGTATCGTGTGTTTGACCGGAGCGAACATCATCATGAAAGCTAGGGAAATCATCGAGCGGGTTGGACGTCCTCTGGAACTGGACACGGACGGTATTTGGTGTATTCTGCCGGCGTCGTTCCCGCAGGAGTTTACGGTGCTGACTAACCACGCCAAGAAGAAGAAGATCAACGTGTCCTACCCGAACGCAGTTCTGAACACCATGGTGAAAGATCACTTCACGAACGAGCAGTACCACGTACTGGAGAAGCCGTACGAAGCGGGAAGTCCAGCGGTCTACTCGATCCAGCCGGAGAACTCGATCTTCTTCGAAGTGGACGGCCCATACTTGGCGATGGTTTTACCGGCGGCTAAAGAAGAGGGTAAGAAGCTCAAGAAGCGTTACGCCGTTTTCAACTTCGATGGATCACTTGCGGAATTGAAGGGGTTCGAGGTTAAGCGTCGTGGAGAACTGCAGCTCATCAAGATCTTCCAGAGTTCTGTGTTCGAGGCGTTCCTGCAGGGTTCGACACTGGAGCAGTGCTACGCTTCGGTGGCCAAGATCGCCGACTACTGGCTGGATGTGTTGTACAGCAAGGGTCACAACATGCCAGACAGCGAGCTGTTTGAGCTGATTTCGGAGAACAGATCCATGTCCAGGAAGTTGGAAGACTACGGCGCGCAGAAGTCTACGTCCATTTCGACGGCAAAGCGTTTGGCGGAGTTCCTGGGCGATCAGATGGTGAAGGACGCCGGGTTGGCTTGCAAGTTTGTCATCTCGAAGAAACCGGATGGGGCACCGGTCACGGAGCGAGCCATCCCGTTGGCGATCTTCCAATCGGAACCGAGCATTCGAAGGCATTATCTGAGGAAATGGTTGAAGGACAACACCATGGGAGATGCAGACATTCGCGATGTGCTGGATTGGCAGTACTACATTGAACGATTGGGTGGAACCATCCAAAAGATCATTACGATCCCGGCGGCATTACAGGGTTTGAACAATCCCGTTCCGAGAGTTCATCATCCGGACTGGTTGCACAAGAAGATGCTGGAGAAGAATGACACGCTGAAGCAGAGAAGGATCAGTGAGATGTTCACGATGAAGGAGAAACCGGCGATGCGGGATATTGAGGACTTGGGACGATCGCGATCGCCAAGTGTCGGGCCGAACGTTCCTATCGTGAATTCCAAGCGCAGAAGAACACCGTCAGCTGAGGAGCCTGTTGCTGCTTCAGCTGCGGTGACGGTTTTCAAAACCTGGCAGGAAGCCCTTGGCGCACCTCCACCCGTGGGTGAGACAAACAAGGACTTGCAGGAGTGGTTGGCGTTCCACAAGAAGAAATGGAAGTGGCAGTGGGCGCAGAGGAGTCAGTTCAGAATTCCCCCCAAGAGCAAGCGGTCGAGAACTGATCAGGAACAACCTTCAACTTCGATGGTTTCCGCTCAACCGGCTGCCACGTTGGGAGGTTTCCTCAAGAAGACACAGCGATCGCTGATCGAGCAAACGTGGCATGTGCTTCAGATTCTACCAACGGATGAGATGGGTCACTTTGTCATCTGGGCGTTGGTGGGTGATGAATTGCACAAGCTTAAGCTGATCGTTCCGAGGATCTTCTACGTTAATCAAAGAACGCCGGCACCTCCGGAGGAGGGATCGATGTGGAAGAAGGTTCACCGCATTCTGCCGAGAGCTCGTCCAGCCTACTATCTCTATCAGTATGTCGTTCCGGAGCAGGTCTTCCGTGACAATCGCTTGGGGCTTTTAGCAGATCTGGCAACCCCGGATATTGAAGGCATCTACGAAACGCAGATGTCACTGGAGTTCCGTGCCATCATGGAAGTGGGCTGTGCATGTGCTGTTCAGCGTGCGGAGGCTCGAACTTTGGCCAACATGACCACCAAAGAGATGAACACGTTCAACATCCAGCAGCTGGAGATGAAAACCATCGCGAACGATGGCTATCTGAAAGGTGGATCTAACGTGAAAAAGATCTTCCTCTACCAGCATAGCATCCCGTCGGGAAAGCGCGAAATGTGGGGTATTTTCATGGGTCCCACCAAGAAGGGCCTGATAGTCGTGTTTGACACCGTCCGTACGAACCAGCTTCCAACAGTGAAAAACCTGTACCTGTCGGAACGGACGGCCCTGCTCAATGGAAACAATCCCAACTTCACCGAAGAGAACCTCCCATCCGCGGACATGGACTTGGAAGCCTACGTTGAAGTCGAATCCAAACAGGTTTACCAACGACTCACCAAAGCCCTGTCGTCATACCAGGACGAGAAGCGAGGCCCGACGATTCTTTGCATTCAAAGCGCCCTAGGCCTTCAGAAACTGAATCAAACTCTTCCTATCTGTCTGGAGTTCCCTCAGAGTCAAATCCACATCGCCGACGATGCTTCGTTGCTTTCAGGTTTGGAATGGCAACGCCACGGGGTTCGGTCCATGTTGCGTCACTTCCTGAACATGAACCACGTGGTCGGGATGATGCTTGAGCAGTGCCGCTACTTCCAGCTTCCGATCGGCAATATGCCCACCGATACGATACTCTTCGGAGCGGATCTGTTCTTCGCTCGGCACCTTCAGAAGCACAACTTTATCCTCTGGTGTTCGCCCAGTTCCCGTCCAGATCTGGGAGGTCGCGAAGCGGACGACAGTCGACTCCTGGCGGAGTTTGAAGACAATATCTCCATCGTTCAGAATCGTCCGGGTTTCTACCACAGCGTGTGCGTGGAGTTGACCATCGAAAGTTTAGCCGTTTCGGCACTGTTGCAGGCGAGCAAGGTTCAGGAAATGGAGGGTGCCTCCTCGGCCATCACGTTCGATGTGATTCCGCAAGCTTCGTTGGACGACATGATCAGTAATCAAGCCCAGACGCTGCCGAGCTACGATGAGACGGCCCTGTGCTCGCAGGCGTTCCGTGTGATGCGCTCGATGGTCAACGGGTGGCTGCGGGAGGTTTCGATCAATCGGAACATTTACTCGGACTTCCAGATCATCCACTTCTATCGGTGGGTGCGGTCGTCCAAGGCGCTACTATACGATCCAGCTCTGAGACGGGCTTTGAATACCCTGATGCGGAAGTTGTTCCTGCAGATCATTTCGGAATTCCAACGATTGAAGGCGGAGATTATCTATGCGGATTTCAATCGGATCGTGATCAACACCGGGAAGAAGACGGTCAGCGATGCGATCAGCTACACGGACTACGTGGTGCAGAGCATCCGGAACAAGGAGTTGTTCCACAGCGTGTCGGTGTCGTTTCAGCACTCGTGGGAATTTCTGTTGTGGGTCGACCCGGCGAATTTCGGTGGAATTGGTGCCAGCGCTTCGAAGAAGGGCAATTCACAGCAGGATCACGGCTCCGAGCAAAGTGAGCTGCCAACGACGGGAGAGGAAGTGGCCACGTTGGAGATGAACTGGAACATTGCGGAGCAATTGCCGGAGAACGGTCGCTGTCGGGAGTACTTCGACCAGTTTGTGTCGTCTTATTTGGAGACGTTGGCCGAGGGCGTCACTGCTCCGAAGGCTCTGAAGAAGTGGTCCAATTCGGCGTACGAAATGGTGCAGAAGCTGCACAAGAACTACGGCCGGGGCAAGGAGGGTCCGGCGTTGGAGTTCATCAAGGCCGTCTGCAAGGTGCTCGCGGTGAACAAGGAAATCGATGAAGAGGTAAGTACATCATTGCAAGTCCGATAGGTTGGGACCGTCACTGAAAACGATCGCTTACAGCTCACCACTCTTCGACGGAACATGCTGCTGCTGGTGGGAATCGGCGATTTCAGCGACAAAGCCGTCTGGAAGGACCCGCAGAAGACGTACGTCCTCAGTGAAGTGATCTGTCAGGCTTGCAACCACTGCCGCGATGTGGACCTCTGCAAGGACAACCATCGGGCCATGAAGGAGGGCCGACCGGTGTGGCTGTGTGCGCAGTGCAGCGTCGATTACGATATGGTCGATATCGAGATGCGCCTGCTGGATGTGGTCCAGCGGAAGATGATGTCCTACACGCTGCAGGATCTGCGTTGTGGGCGCTGCAAGCAGATCAAGAGGGAGAATCTGGCCGAGTTCTGTCCGTGTGCCGGCCGTTTCGAGAATCTGATTTCCGCCGGAGAGTTGCGGCGGTTGTTCAACACCTTCGTGACGGTGGCCGAGGACTACAAGCTGCCACTGCTGAAGGAGACGCTCGAACACATTCTCAGCGTCCATTAGGAGGAAGGTAATTTGTTTAATTGTTTCTGGAAAAGCGACTAAGTTAATACATGCAAGGTAGAATCATAAACGGGGACCAAATGGACTAGTGGAAAATCTGAGAAACTTCCTTCTGCAGTGTTTATACGCTTAGGTGTGCGATTCGGGATCATTCATATGAAGGACTTTAAATGATTTAGCGTCTCTGAAATCAAATGTGTTCTCTTAGCCTTTACCAATTGCCCTTTACTTCTAAGAAGGCCCCTGGGAAGACTCTGTTTTATAAATCTGAAATATTGAACAACTTCCCTCGCCCACAAATTTCAAAAGTAGTGGTAAAGACCAGGCTTCAAAATTGTCCGGATAGACCTATCCAGTGGATAGCAATAAACGGAGTCTATCCCTATTTACAATTCTTCCCCTCCGGATAAATCAATTCAAGTTAAAATAATCCGGATAATTTTAACTTGGATCCACTATTTTATTTATCCGGATAGACTCCGAGCAGTTTACGTTTAGAATACGGATGTTTGATATCAAATATGTACCCATCAATATGGTTATTTTTGGAATCTGGATGATGTCAAGAGGCCGGAAATTGATATCCGACGCCATTTGGAATCCTACATGGCGGCTCCCGATTTTATAAAAAAGTGGGAAATACTGTGAAAAACCCATCAATATTGGTATTTTTGGATGTTCAGAGGCTGAAAATCGATATCTGACGCCATTTTGAAATCAAAGATGGTGGTTCCCGTGCTCGACGCTGGCGGACTACAACGCTGTTGGCACATTTCTTCAGCTGAACCGGTTTAAGTTCTACACTCACGACGTCCCTGGAAGCAAACCACTGAAAATGGTGATCCGTGGTCTTCCTAATCTGCCTGTTGCGGAGATTAAAGCGGAATTGAAGCACCTTCATCTGCAACCAATCAACATGTTTTCCCATTGCGAGACGTGATGAAACCGGTGCATTCCGGGACCAGTTGTACCTGGTGCACTTCGATAAGGGCTCCACCAGTGTGGCTGCTCTGCGGATGACTCGCGCGCTGTTCAACATCGTGATTCAGTGGGAGCAGTATCGTCATAAAGGTAAGGCACCGTGACGTGACACAAGTGCACTAATTGTCTGGCATTTGGGTACAGTACGAAGAATTGTCACATGAAGGCTTGTTATGGCAAATGTGCTGGGGCTCACAATACTACCATAGAGGTTTTTCTAAGACCAGAAGGTCCCGAAGAAACGAGCTCAAATTTTTGGCTCAGCTCTGGTACTATCTTCGGACCCAAGCTAAGCGATTCACCCCTCGAAACAAAGGAAAATCCACTAACCCTTCATTTTATCTGTCAAACTTTTATAGCCGATTTGCTTGAGACCAATAGGCTAGTCCCAAGTAATGAGCCAATTTAAAATCGTTAGTTTCGTATGGATTGTTGATACTACCGCCTGCAAGAAAGAAGAAGAAGCTGAACCTAAGTGCGTGAACTGTGATTCCAACCATCTGGGCAGCGATAGGAGATGTCCCAAGCGATCAGCCTTCATACAGATCCGACAACAGGCTTCAACGAGGAACCAACATGGTCGCCACCACAATAATCGTGCTCCTATTGTCAACATGGACACGTTTCCAGTACTTCAGGCTCGTCGTATGGTCCTGAACCTAGCACCGCTTCCACTAAACCAGCCCCCACCGTTCAGTTCAGCATCGCCTCACTGCCGCTGCGGCCCAGCCAAGTCAGGTGAGTCAGAAGACAATTCTCCACTCACAAGCGACGAACTAGTGATCCTCGTGACTGAGGTGATCATAATCTTGCACACCACCAAGACACTACCTGAACAGCTTCGTGCAGTTATGTCCCTCGTGCAAAAGTATGGACCGTGAAGCCAACCGGTGAACACTCGTGTTTGTTTCAGTTACCGTGGGGACGTAATTTGTGATTAGCCTAGGTCCCTTTCAAATTGTATCATTATTTATGACGGTCCTTATATTTGAAATGACGTTTCACATTCATCTAGGGATGGCCGACTTTCATTCGAATAATCGATTAATCGATTAACGAACCGAAAAGTAAAATATTTGTAATCGGTTATATCATGCCGATATAAGCATTAACATCTCCAGAGGGTCATCACCGATCGTTTCATACATGTGCTGCACTCTCATTGGTGGAAAAATGGCAGCACAGCGAACAAAAAAAATCGATTAGTTGTTAATCGAGTAATTAAAAAATGGGACATCTCTGATTTTGGTGTGATTGTTTTGATAAAAATGAGCGCAAAATTTCATCTCTACTGAGGGGGGCAGCAAAACCACAAAATTACCTTGAATACGGGGGGTATTCATTGGATGAAAGGGACCGTGAAAGAGGACACTAAAATAGAAAGTTTTTCTTCCGACAGTTTCATCTTTGGTGAAGCCATCAAAATAGTCAACTGGATCGCTTGCTCGCTCAAGAGCAAAATCATTGAGTTTGTTGATTTCCTCAATGGACATAGCATTGACATGGCCGTCATCACCGGGGAGGAGTGGCTATTGCATTAAGGAGAAATATTGGCTGTCGACTGCTACCGAGTTTCCAGCTGAAGATGATCAAAGCGGTGGGTGTGGAAGTCTCCACTCCTGTCGGCCCTATTACCATCATTGTGGCCTACTATCCCAAACAAGGCACCATCAGGGACGGGTCGGCAGTAGACCTGCGGAGGAACATCATCAAACTAACTCGACGGCGCGAAAAGTACATCATCGCTGGCGACCTGAACGCCAAAAACCAGGCTTGGGGCAACAGTCGACGCAACCAAAACGGCACAATCCTGAATGACGATCTGCAAGAGGCTCACTACACCATAATAGCGCCGGACTCTCCTACCCGGTTGAGCCGGTCTGGCGTTCACTCCACCATCGACATCTTCGTCAGCAACATGGGAGACAACATCTCGCAATCTGTGACCCACCAGGAGCTGAGTTCGGACCACTATCCGGTGGTGGCCGATGTGGGCTCATCCATCAACTAGTTCCTGACGGAACTACCATCGCGTCAACTGGGATCAGTTCCAACACTGTGTCGACTAGGGTGTCTTTCCGAAGATACCCGAAGAAGTTGACCGGTGTCTGCTCTCCATCGAGGAGGCGATATCCCGGGCCAGGAAACATCACGTCTCGCAACACGTGCCAGTATCCAGACAGGTGAGCAATACTTTGAACCTTGATAGAATTACCAAAAATCTCATTAGACTCCATAACTTCATTCGAAGGCAATACCAGCGTTCTGGCTTGCCTGTCTTGAAGACCCACTGTAATCGCCTAACAAAAACCATCCAAGCCAGGATGGTGGATCTCAGAAATCAGAACTTTGCTAACAGGATCCACTCTGTCCCAGATTGTGCAAAACCCCTTTTCGAAATCTGGAAGTGTGATTGCAGTACCATTATTCATATGATAACGGTAGTTTTTACATGCGGGGCTTATTGTATGTGAAAGTAACCTCGGAATGGACGTGAATTACCAGGCATTCTGAAATGGGTTACTGAAATTGCAGTAGAGCTATCGCTTTCTAACTCCCGCACTAAACTTGCTTTAAATTATTACATCAAGGATTGTTGTAAGCAAATTTCTTCCATAATACCACTGCCGGCCAGTGGGGGTTAGATTGAATACACACACACACACCACTGACCCCATTGGATGACTATGACCCAGTGGTTCATCTGATAACTCCTGAAGAGAAGGCTGCCGCGATAGGTCAAAACTTCGTCAGCTCCCATAATCTCGGACAAAACATCGTTAGCCCTCACAAAGCTGAGGTTGATGAAAACGCAACCAACCTTCATCAGATTCCTAATATTTTTCCCGAGGAATCCGAGATTACGGTTGACGAACTGTTGGCCTATATCAAATAATCTAAAAATATGAAGGCCCCAGGTTTCGACAACATCCTGAATCTGGAACTGAGACACTTGAGTTCCACATTCTACAACCATCTGGCACTGATTTTTAATCTGTGCCTCCGACTTGGCTACTTCCCCTCGTGTTGGAAGTCAGCTAAAGTCACACCCATCCGGAAACCTGTGAAGGATTCGTCCTCTCCTTCAAGTTATCGACCAATCAGCCTTCGAAAGAGCAGTATATCACCGGCTTCTAACATTTGCCGCAGAAAACAACTTGTTACTCGTTCGACCGTCCACTAGCTGACTCGAGTAACAAACATTCTCAGACGGAACAAGTCGGTTTCGAAAACATCTGCCATGGCGTTGAAAAAGCGAAAACAAACCAATCATCCGTTCCGTAATCGAGTACGGCATGCCAATCTGGGAAAGTTGCGCCAAATGCCATCACCTTAAACTCCAAAGGACCCAGAACAAGATCCTTAGGATGATCCTAAACAATCCCCCGCGAGCTAGAAATTCTGAGATCCACCTCCTGGCTGCAATTCAGACATTAGAAGAACGGAGAGTATTTATCCTGGAAAGGTTCAGAGACACCTATCTGAGATCAACTCATCAGATCATACGTGATCTAGCACGTTAGGTTAAGTTATAGCCGTAGTTAGGTAGGTTATCACTTTTTTCAAATCAAACATAACAACGTTGAGTCTCACTGTTTCGAAGATGTGCTGCAATTCCTCAACCTTTCCTGTTCCGCTGAGTGGAACAGTCTGCATCCGATGAATCACGTGATGGAAGGCGGCCATTTTTGTTTGACGGGAACGAATGGTTGAAAGTAAAGGGAATAACCAAGGGGGTTGAAAGTAATCCATTCTACATTTAATTTAACAGATGTAACTTAGATTTGCTAAATAATTAAGATTTTTTGGAGAAACTTGATTTATAATGAATAATAACTCGCACCTGCCTATATCATCCGAATTAATCCACTATTCTTAGATAATCTTGGTATCTATCTGTTTACTCTAATATGTTTAAGTGTGTTTATGTTTACTGTCACTTTCATGATCGCGCGGTTTTCGCATTCGGTCAATCGCAAATCGAGTGGAAAATTCTTTTAAGGCTACTACACACTTCCCCGGAGTAACAAAAAAAACCACCCTTACCTGTCGATCTTCCGTTCAGCAGTTGATGCAGTCTTGGACCCCAAACAGTGGCAGACGATCGGATACTGGAAACATGACCGGAAAAGGATCCAGCAGATGCGCTTCTCAGTTCTCTAAATTGAATTCCAACGTATGAAATAACTCATCGAGGACAGGACTAGCATCCACCCCCGGGGTCAAGTTAGCAAAATCTGCACTTCAAAGAGTATCCGGCTTAAATACTCATTCCCTCCGTCCTCTGTCTCTGGTCCATGACCGCCGTCCCATTATCTGACCCATAGATTCCGATAGTGCTAATCTACCTAAATATCAACGACAACGCTTCGCAAATCCCCTAACCACTCCCCGGTTCGCAACCCATCAGTAGCAGAAGAAGAAGCTTAACTCCAGCACTCCACCTATACCGCTCCCAACCAACAACCTCCCTCGCAAGATCGAGACAACCCCTCACCGAGTACTTCCGAAATCAAGCCGTCAACCAAACCTCGTTTGGTCTTATCGAGGGTTTCACAACCACCTCAGCCTCCCACTCGGAGGATGCTCTATTATTTCATGATTCTCAGCCATGCAAGTATCCAAGCAAACCTGATGCTGCTCGGTCAGACGTCGGTGGCACCTATTTGGACAGAACCCGTTATCCAGGTTGCGATTCGTGAACTCGAAGCACCCACATTCCTCATCGAACCCTGACGAAATCCACCTCAGCAGCTCGACACTAAGCGTTCATAAGGGCCAATGTTGTAAACGTAAACAATGGCTTCCTTCTTAAATTTTCCTAATTCAAAGTCTTTCCATGAAAGCCACTAATTCTATCGGATAGGAGGACTCTCCCTCTACACAATCATTGTGAATTCGGTTGATCTCATCTAACATTTGTGGAATGACTGCCCGTTTAACTACGAACCTCCACCACCGGTTTGGTAATAGCATAGAGGTAACTCTAAGACCACTGGGTCCCGAAGAAAATCATTATTATTTTTGGCTCACTCAGTACCAGAACAACGGTCCCAAGCAGTCCCAAGCTATTTCACTCACCCCTGCATGTTCTGCATGAATCCACACACCCCTGATGTTATCTGTCAAACTTTCATACACGGTGTTTCGTGAAACCCCATTATTGGGTAAAAAAATACCCATTTTCAAACCATGTATGCAGCTGTCAAAAAATGGGGGAATTTTGAAATCCTAAAATGGGTGAAAAAATACCCATTTAAAGAATCAGTTCACGGTTGAATAATGGGTATATTTTTTACCCATTAATGGGTGAAAAAACACTTCGAAATTTTATCGTCTCATTTCCGTCACCGGCTCATTGGGAATGCAAACCTCGATGCAAACAGTTACTGTCCGCAGCAACGATCTCCGGAAAATGTTAGAATCCAAAACGTTGGAGAGGCTTACGGATAAGTCAATACAATGGATAATTTGTATTATAATGTTTCGTGAAAAATTTGAGCGGAACACCTGCATTTATTTTCAATGTTTTAAAAACATTTTTACATCAACGATCGCTTGCATCCTCCATTTGTAAAAATGGGTATTTTTTCACCCATTTTACGGTAAACACAATATAAGAAAATGGGTGAAAAAACACCCATTTATTGACAGACCACCCATTTACCCATTTATGAGTAAACCATAGTTTACCCATTAAATGAGGAGGGGCACTTTTAGCGGAAATGGGTATTTTTATACCCATTAATGGGTTTTCGCGAAACACCGTGTAGCGAATCAAAACAAACATAGTGTAGTAATAGAATTTCAACTAGAATAGGGTACGTTAATCGTTTGCTTGGGACCAATAGGCTACTAAAGTGGTGAGCCAATTTAAAATCGTTAGTTTCGTATTGATTGTTGGTAGTACTCTTCCTTCCAAAGGCGGGTCAGCTTGCGGTACGTCAGAACCTTGTTTCTCCATGCTGCATCCTCTCGTTGTGTTAATAGCCAGTCTTTCAAATGGTTGATCGCTTTTTGACCGCATAATCTCGTCCTCGTTGTTGTCTCCTGAAGCTTGTAATTGCTGGGTGAATTCTTGGGTGTTACAAATTGCCTTACTCTGGAACTGATTCGACATACTCTGGAACTCTGTGACTAGCCACTTCGCTAGTTTGTGGGTAGGGGAACTAACTGCAGACGCGATCTCTCGCATTTAATCCCCCTGCTTTTTGACTTTGGGGAGATCTTTGATCCTGGGTAGAATGGGATTGGATTCCCGTAAACGACCTGCTCCATCTCCTAATATTGATTTACACTCCTTCAGTGTTTTCTCCACGTGTTTCATCATGCTCTATGAGGGGTCCACTCGAAGCTGCCTATACGGTCCGTTGTTAATCATTGTTGTCATCTGATTGTCGTAATCGTCCTTGTCCTTGATAGCGACTGCATATAATACACTGCATAAGCTTTCAATTTCTTTACAATGCGAATTTCCTTTTCGTTGCTGCGGTTCGAACGAAAACGAGAATAATGGGTGATAGACTGCGTTACGATTAACAGACAGTGAAGTCCTATGTTAGAAATATTAGAAATTCGAACTTGTGTTACCAACTAACACACAGGTGGCAGTTTCTTTCGCAAAATAAAATTACAAACGACGCTTCACTCTCCGGATCTAGAGACTAATCGGTTTCAGTAATTTATTCCGAGAAATTATCATAATTACAAGAAAGTTGCAATGCCGATCGGTTTTTAGGCACTGCTGGAGTTGATGGGGCCCATCTTGGGTTCCTCGAATTTGAAGGTAGGGAAAGTGGTCATGTCGACACCGCCGGTGCCACCGTACTGATTGGCCAGCTTATCCAGCTCCTGCTTCAGTTCGCGCTCGATCTCGGGCGTGGCATCGACCAGCTTGCCACCGCTGGAGGGAAAAAAATTGAGATTTTTGGATTAGTCATATGAATGTTTATATTGTTTTTTGATGTTACCAAAATTGTAATTAGTAGCCTATAATAAATTTGGGAGTCAAGTGACAAACATAAATGGCCGCTATCATAAAATATTGTAAGCCGAACGCATTTTTCAACATCCGCTCCCTCTCTTAAAGTGTCTATGTTTTCCCGGAATTTAGGAAATTTTCTCAGTTGTGCGATATACATTTAAATTAAGCATAAATCCGAATGCGATTTGACCGAAATAATCACTAGAGTTAATAAAAAGACAGCAACATTTGTCTAAGTTAAGATTCATTTCGAATTTTTAATGATTCTTCCAAGAATTCAGTGAAGCTTTCTTCCATTATTCACTTGAATTCTCCATCGAATTTTCATGAAATGAAGTCTATAAATTCTTCTCAGAATTATCTTTGATTCTTCTCGAATTCCCGTAAAAATCATCTCCGAATTTAATTGAATTTGTACCCTCAAAATTCGATAACCGTGGCAATCTTTTCGGAATTGTTGTTGTCATCTGCTCTCTCTTGCAATCCTTATCAGAACTTATTTGGAATATTCATTACTCGTGTGCTCCTAATTTTAAACCAAACTTAAGGTGAAAGTTACTGCTTTTTCGTTGATACTGACTCCACACACGTTCGAACCACACCCAAATTCTAAATGCACCAATACCAACAAGCATTGCAAATTAGCAAAATGGGAAGTATTGAAATGTTGACCATATTCGTAAATACAATATATTGTATAATTTTAATAATTCTACTACTGAAAAGACAATTTCAATTCCAAGTTCAGGGAAGTTTTGCCTAAGTTCAGGGAAGTCCTGACGAAATTCAAAGAAAGTTCTGCCGAATTTCAGGGCAATCATGCCATTTCAATTCTTGGAAATTAGGGAAGTCCTGATGAAGTTCAGAATACCTCCATCAAATAGGCAGAAATTTTCACAGATTATCTTGTGAAACAACTTATGAAGATTGAGGAACCTTTTGATTTCACTGTAGCTTGACTACTAAATCAACGCTTATTTTTAAGAAATTAACTTATGCATATAACACTTGAATTGTTTTTACTATTTCACAAATGCATGCGTATCCAACATGATTACTCGCTTTCATCAAGGAGTTCTTGCGATAACGCATAGACATGTCCCTAACAATATTTTGAAACGATCTACGGAAGTCAAATATGACCTTTCGTACTAAATACTTCTGTAATTGATGAGGAAAGTTAGCGACCACTATGATTGTGGTCCTAAAATTGAACTTAGAAAATGGTTTTCAGAAAATTTAAGGATTTCTATCTAGGATAGCAGTTTTAGTTCTTTAATTTAGCAAGGAAGAGTTCGATTGAGCGTTGCGTTATTTTGTAAAAAATCGAAGAAGTGAGTCATTCTGAACCGATCCTTTTTCACCTTAATGCAACTAATTAAAAAAATTCACAATAGTATCAAAGAAACATACGTTGTCTGTAAAAATTCTGTACCCAACCTGCATGATAGCAAATTAATTAAATTAAACAAATCAAAATGTCTTAAATAGAGGTTGGAGTGTACCTTGAAATTCTCTTTAGAATTTGTGTTCAGTTCCCTTAAAAAAGTATCAGCAAAATTACTTAGCAATTTTAGTCAGAACTCTCTTTGAATTGCCTTGAAATGCTTCACAGAATTCTTTTGTAAATTTACTTCGAATCCTGTGAAGGATTCCCTTGGAATTCGCCTTACCTTTTCTGGAATTCCTCACACTTAATTTGAAAAGAATCCTCAATCACTTTCCTATAAATTTATTGTTTGATTTCCTAAAGATCCATGGAAATTCTCATAAAATTTATTAATTTAAGTTAATGAGCTTTGCAACTTTTGCAGAGCTGTTAATTTATTTGAAATTTGGGTTCTTTGAATGTATTCTAAGACCGCAGTCCCAAATTCTTGAAAATTTCTTCAAGTTTGATTTGATCATTAAGTCCAAGATTTAAAAAAAGTCCACTTTCCAGAACGTTAAAAACCACAATTCAAGCCTAAGAATTTGTGTTGTTACTGAAGATAAATCCTGATTGAGTCTGTACACATAAAGCAATTCACGGAAGATGAATCAACTCCCGAATTATTATGTTCAAAGAGTTAAAGTAAATAACGAGGAAATACAGTCGGATGTACAGTCGAATTTTGCTCGTTGGACTACATTTTACCGAAGACTGGCAACTCTTCCATTTTCTCATACAAACGCTATGAGACAGGTACAATCGCGTCATCTGCCGCTCAAAGGTAAATAGCAAAGATTAGCAAAGATTTTTCTATGCGTAGCTTCCACCTTCACTCAAGCGCAGCGCTACTGTATCTGTCGCTTGGATTCTGGCAAAGTTGCCAGGCTTCTTGATTTGTTGTCTTCGATTTTACTGTAATAAATAATAAATAATCGGTGTTTCCTTCAACCAATTTTCAGCTTGATGGCTCAGCCCAAATAACGAAAGCCTTTCACTAAGTGGGCTGTGGGTTTAGTCCATCGAGCGAAAGTTGACTGAATTATACATTATTTTAAAATTCTTTATAACGTTCTCTGCTGCACTTGAATAGGGTAAGGTGGGGCAACATGGGTACTGGCTGACTCATTAATCTATTATAATTGTTAAAACCAACAAGTTCAACACAACCCAAATGATGGTTTGCTTTTTCAAACCAGCATTGGGGCTACATTGAGCCTTTTGATGTTGACAGTCAAAAAATTAAATAAATCAAGTAGATGACTCATTTAACCCCACCTTACCCTATATTATATTCTTAAAAATTTGCTAGACAAAGGAATTTGAAAATTCCAGGTTTTCTCAGGAAAAATAAAAATCCCTGCAGATTTCAAGTTTTCCACGTTTTCCCAAGACACCCTGGAAACTTGTTTTTCTGAACATTGAAACACTCTTAAGAAAGTCTCTTGAAATTCACTGCGTTTGATGATTGCTCTGAATTTCTAAACTTTCTTCCAAATTTTCCAAACATGTCCGTCAAATTCTCTTCAGCTTTTCCTAAGTATTGTTCCAAATTCCTTTGAAATTCTCCTCCGAATTCCATAAATTCGTGATCTCAGAAATGTCAGAATATGACACTCCTTAAGGTGAATCGCTGTGACATCCTTATTCTCTGAATCACTTCGAAACTTTAAGTGCAAAAATATCAGCTTCTACGACACGTGCAACATCCAAATTGTTACTTCACGTTTGCTGCACTGCAGCATACATGAAGCATCAATTTCAGGTGAAATGGGGCACCGATTTCCGAGATTTGTGTAATTGAAAATTCCGAAGTGGAAGCCTACGTGGCGGCCATTTGTGGACTCTACAAGGAATCACCTTAAATTGCTTTCAAAATACCCCTTGGCAGAATTCTCCAGGAATGCTCCCAGAGAGATTTGTTTCAATTGCCCATCAGAAATCCTTCCATAAATTCCATCTTATTCGATTTTCCTGGAATCATTTTCATTTGTTTAACTATCCTCGGAATTATGTTCCCTTGAAATTCTTCTTGGAATGCTTTGGAATAATATTTAGGATTTTTTTCTAAATTGCGATTTTATTTAACAACCGGATTGTTGTCAGCTGCTAAGGCAGTGAAATTCTTCAATCGACGGTGTGCTTATTCTTACTTCTACTAATTTTCTAATGCTACTACTGCCAAGGAAAAGAATATCGACAGAGGAAAGCAACTTGAGGATTGTGTCGCGCATTGCAAAAAAAAATAATTCTCTTCAGAATTCGCCTGGATTCATCCTCACAATTTTCCATATTTTCCGGCAGATTTTTTAAGTTTTCCACAGGAAAGCATGAGGCAAATTTACTCATCGCTGCGTTCCTGCAATTTTGGCGATTATGAGTGATCTAAACTCAATGTTGTGTCGTTCTCATTCGCCGTGTAGGACATCGCAACACTGGGGGGTTGTTGTTGGCGTGGTGTCCCAACAGAGCTACTATCAAACATATCCCGTCTTCAACCCACTTCCATCTAAACGAAACTATAATGAAACATGGATTAAATTTACTTACGCGCTCTTGCTCCGGTAATCGCGGAGTTTGTTGACGAACAGCTGCTGAATCGGATCGGTGGCCTTCGACAGGACGACGGCGCTAACACCGTAGTTGCGGCGAGCCTGAGCTCCCAACATACGGGCGGCCTGCTGGATCTGGTTCGTCAGCATCTACGGGCAGACCAAATTGAGTGGAATAATTTGCATCGATTTCAATGTTATGCGAATAATATATAACCTCCAAAACGTTATGTAACTTTCGGTTCCCCCACTGGAACACCGGGATTGTCCTTCCTACCAAGCTCAAATCATGTTACAAACATGACGAGGCAAAAGGAAAACCCTTACGTTTATCGGGGTAGGGAAATTCAGCACTTACCTTGGTCGAAAAAGGGTGGAAATTCAGTAAAACTCTTCGCAACACCGCAGTAGCGAATCCACTTTTAGCTGGTGAAAAAGTTACGACTCGGGAGAACACTGACAGACAACACTGACAGACAACACTGACAGAAGAGGAGACGGATGAACTCGAGTGCGGTGCTGTCAAAACACGAAAAGGTTCACTAGGCAGGGTGGTACTTCAGGAGGATGTTTTGCGAGTGAATCTCTCTTGGTACAGTTCCAGCCGGTTGGTGTGAACAAAGGATGACTGAGCGCTCACGTATCATAAACTCGCTGTTTGCGACCTTCTGAATGCGAAATTGACAGATTTAATGTGAGTTGGTTGAAAATGCTATCTAACATGAAGCTTTAGTGTGATAATTTATTAGCTAGAGAATGGGCCGTATGAATAAAAAGAGTTTACTTTACTTTCCCGTGCTTTTCTTATGGGAAAAGTAAAGTAAACGCTTTTATTCATACGACCTAATGATCTTAGAAGAGGGTAGGTAGATAGTTCTGTTAGCGTACGGCAATATGAAATATCAATAGAAGTTGAAAATGAGCGAAGCGCCATTATTGCGACAGCGCAAGTCAATTTTATTTTATGTGTCATACACAAAGTTTGCATCAGCATTGTCAGATTGTTTTCCAGCTTATCGGTACAAACAGTTTAAAAAAATCGGTATTTATCGGTATTTATTATCTTAATTAAATTTATATTTTTGCCGTTGGCTTGATGCCAAAAGATCAAACTTTTGGAATTAGAACGGAAAATTTTCTTTCCAAGAGAATCCGGAAGAAATTCCCGGGCAATGTTTGAACTAGCTTCTGAAGGAAACCGATCAAATTTCCAGAGAAAGAATAAAGTAGTTCTACTGGAGGAAGTTTGAAGAAAGTTCTAAGAGAAGTCAGAAAAACTTCTGGGGACCTTGAAAGACAACTATCGAGAAACTTCTGATGACAAGTTAGAGCAGCTTTCGGAAAAAAAATCGGATGACACATCCAAAGGAAGCCAGACAAGATTTGGAAATCTGAAACAAATTCCAGGAGTAGCCATTTCCATGGAAAGCCAGAAGAAGCTCAGAAAAACCTTCCAATTGAAGCCCAAAAAGAAACCTACGGAGGAAGACGAACGGAATTTCTGGGAGATACAGTTGGTGGAAGTTTAATTAAACTTCCTGGAGAAGAAGGAATACACTTTACGGAGAAGGAAGAAGATGGAATAAACTTCCTAAGGTAGAGGGGAAAAAAAAGTCGGAAGTTAGAGGGCTTACGGATCAGTCGCAGGAAACTTCAAAGAGAAGTTGGGGAAAAAATCCGGAAGAAAGAGATTTCTTGGGGATATTAGCACAACATTACCTGAAGTTCCTTACATGTTCTAATGATCCTGAGTATTTTTCCTAATTTTTATAAAACATCCCTGAAGACCCAACAATGCCCCTGAAGTTTCCTGAAATGCACTTGGAAATATCACATAAATCCTCGGAGCTCCTTGATAGTTCTTGCACTTTTCCTAAAGTTTATGGGGCTGTTTTGAAGTTCTCTGAACATCCTCAAAGTACTGGGAATTTCCTTGATTATTATGAAACTACCAGAAAATCTCTAATCTTCTTTGAAGGTGTCCGGTCTTTCATGAAGGTTTCAGAACTTCTTAAGTGCTCTCACAATGTTCTTGTAATTAATGGATCATCAGCTTTGAAGCTCTCTGATCTTCTCGATTTTTTTTTTAGTCTATAAAAGTTCTCGAAACTTGCCTCTCACAATTTTTTAGTATTTATGTTACTTCTCTTAAGCTTCCAAAATATGCATGAACCTCTCGGTACTTTGCTAGAGTTTTCGGGAATTCCCCGAGTTTCTCGGACTTTTTTTTAAGTTTCAGCAATTTCATTTAAATTAATTGATCTTTTCTGATGTTCTCAGAGCTTCCTTAAGTTCTCTGAATAGGCCCGGAAAAATTGAATAGTCCTGAAAACATTAAATTTCCCTGAAGTGCTTTACATTTGTGAAGTTTCCAAAATATTTCTGATGTTTCCTTAGGTTTATTGGAGTTCTCTGGACTTTCCTGAAATTCCCGCCTTCTCGAATTTTAACAGAATTGAATGAAACTTTTTTTAATTCATCGGAAATTACCCTCCCAGATCTTTAAACTTACCCAAAAGTCTGAACTAATCTGATTATACAGATCTTCTTAAAAGTTTTTGCAGTTTTCCTGAAGCAAGAATGGAATCGCAATAAAACACTTTTAGCATCCCTGATGTTCCGGGGAAGTTGAAAAAACTAACTGGCGGGAGAAGACGGAAGAATCTTTCGAGCTAAGCCAGAAGAAACTTCCAAGCGAAGTCGAAATTACTTTCCGGTAGGAATCGGTAAATACCTTACGGGAAGGTGGAACAAAATTCCAAGGAAAAATTGAATAAACTTTAGGAAGTTAAAAATTCAACATATTGCTGAACCTATTTATTCACTGAATAAAAGTATTTACCGATTCTCAGGAATTACCGGGATGATTCATCAGTTGTTTCTCAATTCCTGGGTAGCCAAGATCGGCGAGGAAATGGAAACATTAATCGAAAGAGTATCAAGCATAAGACGGCACTAAAAATAAGAGATATTCAAAAAAATAAAAGTCTCTCAAAATGGTTTCCTCCAACAGTTCAGCGTGGACTGACAATCATTTTGATTATCATAAAAAAAAATCGGTATGAATCGGTATAAAATCTAAAAAATCGGTATTCTGAGAAACCGTATCTGTATATCGGTATCAAGTTCGAAAATCGGTATAAATACCGATAAATCGGTATAAATACCGATAAATCGGTATATCTGGCAACGCTGGTTTGCATCCCCTTCTTGCATCTTAGAGCACCCGCACCAATGCGTTGCTAAAGCTATTTTAGCAGCCTCCACCATAACGCAGTAACCGCACAGGGTGTTGCTATTCAAGTGCGGTAAATAACCATCTGCCTCTCGGTGAACAGCGGATTGACAGCGCGATAGCAACCGGCCCAAGCGTTGTTACATATGAAATGTTTATTTTGTTTTTCATTTGAACATTGTGATATATGAATAAATTTGTATTTGGGACAAAAATGTGGACTCAAGGGACAGCGAAGCATTCCTCTGGAAGACCCGAAACATCCGTAAATGTGGAAAATTAGTAAAAATCTATATTTTTTAATCAACTAGTTGTTATGGTGCATGAATGAATTTGGATTTTAAACCAGTAGGTGCACTCTGGCGGCCATGGAACGGTCCTTCAAAAAATCTGGAACATCCATAAAGGGGGCCAATTCGTAGAAAAGATCATAGAGCTCCGTATTTTTTAAAATCACTTATTTTGATGCTACAATAATGAATTTGGATCTGGGGCCAGCATGCAAACTCTGCTGGCCACAACCCGGTCTTTCGGGAGGTCCGGACCATGCGTAAAATTGACAAAAAAGATTCAAGATCTTCACGATTCACTTATTCTGAAGCTACATGTATGAATTAGGATCTAGGACCATCATATGCAATTAGGCAGCGGTGTGGTTCTCTGGAAGATTTTTAACATCCTCAAAAGTAGTCAAAAAATAAAATTTTCTGAAGACCTGGCATTGTTTCTGAAGCATTGTAAAATTTATGAAATTATTGAAATATCCCATAATTCCTTTGAATTCCTTGAAATATTCTGCAATTTTCCTTAAATAAATGAAACTGATATGAAAATCTCTAATCATCAACGAAGCTCCGGGAACTTCCCAAAATATAATAAAACTACTAAAAAATCTATATACTTCTCTGAAGGTCTCCAGACGTTCTTGAAGATTTCTGAACACTTAAAAAGATCTCGCAATTTTCTTGAACATAATCTGATCGTCGCTGAAGTTCCTGCATTTTTTGCAGTTCTGCATTGAATACCATGGCACTTCCTTATAATGATCTAACATTTTCCTGATGCTCATGTAAGATCTCTTATGTTTCTGAAATTTAAATAAAGGTCTTGGCACTTTGATGAAGTTTCGGAAATTCCCTGAGTTTCTTAGAACTTCTTAAACATTCTTTAATTTCCATGAAATTAGTTTATTTATTTATTTATTTATTTATTTTTTCCATTCCTGAAGTACTCTCGATTCTATTGAAGTTCTATTCTTCTAAATAGAACTGTCAAAAAATTAATTAATTAAAAAGTTTTTCTGAATTTTATTGAATTGACCGGAATGTATCGGAGCTTACGCCTACAAATCTTCGATCTTCCCTGAAAGTCTGTAATTTATTGAATTTATCGAAGTTATGAAGCTATTGGAAGTGCCGTTAATATATCTTAAATTCCCTAAAGCTCTCTAGTTTAACTTCTTTGAGGTACTTGGAAGTTCTTTAAAATGTAAAATCTCTGAACTTATTTTGACTTCCCTAAAGTTCTCTGGATATCCCTGAATTTCTCAAATTTTCATAAAAGTTCCTGCAGTTTCCAGAAGCTTTTGGAACCACTTTGAAAATCCTGAAGTTCCCAAAGTTTCCAGAAATTTTGCGGAACTTTTCTTTTGTTCCCGCAGTTTTCCTATGAAACTTCCTGAAATTCTGAGTACTTGTTTCCTGAAGTTCACGGAACTTCCCTTATGTTATCCTGATGATGTTCCTGGAATTGTTCAGAAATTAATGGAACTGCCCAGAAGATCTTTAAATTTCCCTTTAAACATGGATCTTCTGTGTAGCTTTCTTAATGTTTTTAAGTTCATGCTCTGAAGTTTTTTTACTATCCTTAAATTTTCGGAACTTCTTGATGGTTTCGTCTATTTTACTTAAATAAATGGATCTGCCATAGAGTTCTCGAAACGAACCTAAAGTTCTCACAGTTTTCCTTATATTAATGGAACTGCCCTAACATTTTCAGAAATTACCCGAAATTCACGTACCTTACTCATAGGTCTTTAAGCTTAAATTTTCCTGGATTTAATGGAACTGCCCTGAAGCTCTTGATCTTCGCTGAAGTAAATTTTCCTGAAATCTATTAGATAGCCCTGGAGCTGTCGAAAGCTACTCTTAAAGATCTTTTAACTTCCCCACATTTCTATCGATCAGAACTTCTTAAAGGTTTCATTTTTTTCTGATGATAATAGA